CGCAGGCTGAGCTTGGAAAGCGGTTGTCTGCAGATGCCTGAACACAGGGAGGGGCGACCGGAAGAAGGGCCTTCCAGAAAGGCGTGCTTGCCCGAGGCTCTGAGCCGGGAGGAAATGGACAGCGATGTGGTCACGGATCACCCCTGAGTGTGCCCCAGGCTGGGGGGGCGTGCCTGGGGCGTCCCCGGGAAAACACATGGAGACATTCTGGAGGGCAGGGTTCTTCCAGTTCTGGGGAGGATGGAACAGAGGTCAAGAGTACCGAGGACAGAGCCAGGCAGACAGTAAGCATCAGTGTCAATGATCACCCACAGTATTGGCTGTTAATCACTCGATTGAACCCGGGGTTCCAGCTGCTGTTCGGCTTCAGAACCACGTCCAGGTGGCGTGCGGACAGGTGTGTGGACAGGCTGGAAGGACGTGCCCTGGCAGCCTCCCCCCGACCGACTGGAAGCCTCTCTCTCGGGGGTGTCTCTCTTGTGTGTCGCAGACAGTGCGTCCGCCAGGGATGGCTTGACGGGGCTGCACCATCCACGTGGTGGGCCCCCCTGACATGGACAGCAAGGGGTGCAGGCCGTGGACCGGAGGACTCCGCGCCATGCTGACCTCTCCATGGGGAATTGTAGTACACGGACCTGATTCTATTTTAGCAAGTGCTGGCATGGATATTTACGTCGTGAAGCCTTTCAGTGACAGTTGATGGAAGTCCCTGTTTGTTCCTCTGACCCGGCGATTCGTGACGGGTCTGTGCTTTCTACACTGGGGCAGCCCAGAAGGACGGAAGCGTTAGGACAGTGTATGACTGGGTCCCTGACACACTCTTCTTCCTGGGGCTAAGGCGTGTGTGAGAGTGTCAGCTCACCTGGTATTTCACAATACAAGTGAGGTGAGGGGTGTGAAGAGGCGAACTCAGGGCTGGTCACCGCTGCTGTATTGCAGTTTCTTCATGTTGACATTTGGGGACCGATTGGTGTGTTGTCATTCCCTGGTTGGTGGCGTTCCCTGTCACTACCCAACTCGAGGGGGTACTGTCCCCCACTCCAGTGTGACCACCGGAAATGTCTGCAGACCTTACGGAACGTCCCCTGGGGTGAAGGGCGCCCTTGTCCCCCCTGGTAGGGAACCCCCGTGTTTAAATAGGGACGCACAGTGATAATCCAAAGCTTTTCTTAGGGGTTGCGTGTGTGAGTCACTGACAAACTTCAGTGTCAGAAGGTACGTGGGCAACCACTGTCGACTCCCGTGGACGCGATGAGTCCAACCAGCAACTCCAAACTCAGAGTCGGTGCTAGAAACCACCAGGGGTGGGGGTTGGAATGACCGCCAGAGCTGAAGGCAAAAAAGAAAAAATTCCGGTGCCTGGTTGCCTGAGGTACGGAACTTCCACAAGGTGCTGAGCAGGAGGGTGAGTGATTTGCCCCATATAGAGAAACAGTGAGTGAATCGTCATCTCCTCCAGCTTTCTGTCGCTGGCCGGTCCCCGGCTCCGTCCCCTTGGTCCCCAGCTCCCTTGCCTTCCCAGGCCGCAGCTCGTTCCAGCTGGGCCTGCCTTCTCCTGACCTGGTTGCATCTCTGAGTCCAGGACCGGAGGGCAAAGGTGAGCAGAGGCGTTCCTCCTGGAGCTCTCGCCCCGAGGGATGGAAAATGGCCTGCTCACGTCCTGGTGCCCATGCGGATGGGCGCGGGCTGCCTTTGGAGGGACGCAGCCCCTCTGGAACCGGATGGAACTAGACGGGGTGAAAGGCAGGCAACTGCACAACACTGGTAATGTATCAGGGGGGTCCCACCTCCCAGGGGGGCCCAGCTGGGGCCCAGCATGGCTAGGAAGCTGGCCCAACACAAAACTGTAAATTTACTGAGAGCCTGCTTTGGGCTCATCAGTTTTCGTTAGTGTGAGTGTGTTTAGTGTGTGTGTGTGTGTGTGTGGCACACGACCCCGGAAGCCCTGCCAGAGTGTGTCTGTGCCACACTGTGCCACACGCTGACAGCCACCAGAAACTGGGGCCTGCTGGCGTGCCGTGTCTTTCTAAGAATGAGGAATGGATTGCATTTGTGAGTGCTGTTTGCCCGTCTTACCAGTACTTTGCAGTCCATCACCTTTTTGCCAGCACTCTTTGTGGGATAATGGTTCTGTTTGGGTAATCATGAGCGGGAAATCGGTGATGGCCGGAAGGTCAGATTTCTCATTTTAATTCATTTTTTTAAAGATCTTATTTATTTTTAGAGAGGGGAGAAAAGGGAGAAAGAGAGGGAGAGAAACATCAACGTGTGGTTGTTGCTCACGTGCCCCCCAGTGGGAACCTGGCTTGCAACCCAGGCCTGTGCCCTGACTGGGAATCAAACCGTCAACCCTTTGGTTCACAGGCTGGCACTCAGTCCACTGAGCCACACCAGCCAGGGCTCTTCTTGTTTTTTGATCCTCACCCAAGGATCTTTTTTAAAAATTGGTTTTAGAGAGAGAAAGAAGGACAAGAGGAGAGGGGAAGACATTGACCCGTTTGCCTCCCGTAAACACCCTGATTAGGGATCAATCCCGCAACCTAGGTGCACACCGCGAGTGGGAATCAAACCCGCAACCTTTTGGTGTATTGGACAAGGCTCCAACCAACTGAGCTACCCAGCCAGGGCTCTCATTTTAATTCATTGTTTCTAGTAATAAACGAATTAATTTCGACATGTTGCATAACCAGAAGAATGTTATTAACCAAAGTCACATTTCTCATTTTTTTTGGCATTGATAACACATAGAGGATGTTAATTACACTTACTGAGTTTGACAACATATAGAAAAGATAATCTCCCACTGCAAGACTCTTCGTTAGTGGGTGGCCATCTGGTTCTGGACCAAAGAATGAGAATTTGATTCTAAAGCTGTGTGTGTGTGTGAACAGCTTGTCATGAGAGCTGTTTCTGTATTAATTACTGATTGAGTTATTATGCATTTTAATGGTTTCATTTTCGAGCTTCAATTTGAAGCTTATTGTCGTGACAGCTGCTGATATTTGGACACCGGGCGGGATTTAGCATTCGGTCCGGGAGGCCGGTTCCCCCACCCCCCACCCCCCCACCCCCGCCCCGGGGCGCTTCGCAGCCCAGCCCTGCAAGCAGCCTTCTGCTGTGCGTTGCAGGTTACTGGAAGGAGCCCGGTGCCATGGCAGCTCCAACAACACAGCTTTTTTCATGATGACATGTACTTGCAGTTTATAAGCAAAATCAACGTTCCCTTGTGACTGCTTTTACTCTAGTTCCTTTCCGTTTTGACTCCAACAGTTGTAGACAAATGTCGTCTAAACATCATTTTCCCCCGCCCCCCAGGGGGTAGATTTTTTTTTTTCTCCTTTGAATAATCCTGGTGGTTTCTTTTACTACATATATCCTTATGATGTTTTCCTTTGAAATTACTACCCTGAGCCCTCCTGGGGTGGGACCCTTTCGCCTCCTTTTGTTCAAGCAGCGTGACTTGGGGGGAGTACACTGCACCGCCTTCAAACCTGTTACGGCTTCCGTGTAATTACACTCACGAGAGACACCTGCATTCATAGCTTCGCCCGTGGTTTTGAATTATATTAAAGCCTCGTAACTTTTTTCTTTTTTAAAATATATTTTATTTATTATGCCATTACAGTTCTATTCCCCTCCATCCTGCACACCCCCACTATTCCCCCCTTTAGTTTATGACCACGGCTCTCAAGTTCTTTAGATTCTATATTTCCCATACTATTCTTGCCCTCCCCCCTGTCTATTTTCTACCTACCGTCTATGCTACTTATTCTCTGTGCCTTCTCCCCTCTTCTCCATCTCCCACTCCCCTGTTGCTAACCCTCCATGTGATCTTCATTTCTATGGTTCTGCTCCACCTAAAACAAAAGCAACCTAAGAGGATAGCTAGATCAGGAGTAACTTTTTCTTTTCTTTTTTTTTTTATCACTTTAAAACTGCCACACAAGAATTTGGAGAAAAGGGCGGGCGTTTCATTTCTTTTTTTTTTTTTTAAGTGTTTTTAAAAATATTGTTGATTTTAGCCCTGGCTGGTGTAGCTCAGTGGATTGAGCACGGGCCTGTGAAACAAAGGGTCACTGGTTCGATTCCCAGTCAGGGCACATGCCTCGGTTGCAGGCCAGGTCCCCAGTAGGGGGCGTGTGAGAGGCAACCACACGTGGATGTTTCTCTCTCACTCTTTCTCCTTCCCTTCCCCTCTCTGTAAAAATAAATAAATAAAAATTTTGAAAATGTATTGTTGATTTTAGAGAGGGAGGAAGGGGGAGACAGAAACCTCAATTTGTTGTTGCACTTACTGATGCATCGTTGGATGCTTCTTGCATGTGCCCAGACTGGGGATTAAACCCACAACCCTGGCGTATTGGGGGTGATGCTCTGACCAACGGAGCTACGCGGCCAGGACTTTATTAAGTTGCCCAGCTTGTGGCTAATCGTGGATGATCGAAACTTCAGGGGGCCGGATTCACTCCCAAGCAGAGACGTTTACGGAGGAAGGTCCAGACGTGTGCGGCCATGCTGGCTGACTCCGCCGTGTGCGGACCGTGGGAAAAGTGAACCCGGGTCTCTGATAGGTGGGATGGTCACGGTGAGGTGCAAGCCTGCCCTCTTCACCCATCGGGGCGGACGGGAGCCCTGCGGAATGCAAGGGTGTGAGTCCGAGCCTGGAAAGTCGAGATGCGTGGGTGCGTTTCAGCTGCCTTTGAGGGGAGCCGGAGCAGAACGGCGATTTGGATGCGGCGTGTGTGGTTTTTTGTGCACGCGGTGCATCCCGAGCGGATCGGAACACACAAACAAGCCGTCGTTAACTCTTACCAACACCTCCCGGCGCAATCTGTGAGGTTTCTCGACGGCATGATTTCTCTTCTGGGCGTGGGGGTGCTGTGTAGCTGGGAGTACCTACGGCATACGGTACAGTCCTTCGAGATAGCCCTCAGATACTTTGAGGTGTTCGCTTTGCAAGTAAAACTATATCTGTGTTAACCAGCATCTCCGTTTATCAGCAGGTAGGCGTTTTGTGGGTACACGCTCGCATGCTGGGGAGCCCGCTGGTCCGAGTGTCCACAGATGACGTCCCCGTGAAGGTAAGCGCCTGCTAGCTAGCTCCTCGGTCTCTGTCCACCTGCAGTCTGCTTCGGAGGCAGAACTGCGTTTCGCCTCCGTTGGATGCCTTCTGTTTGAAAAGGGTTATTATTTTCGGGATTAAAATTAAACCAAAAAATGCATTGCCATTGAGCACACGCATATAGATTTCATTTGGCTCCTCTTTCCTAATTTTATGCTTTCTTGGTTTCTTAATACTATTTGTGTCTATTTTGATGTGCTAGTTAACCTTGAAACCGTTAGGAAAACAGAGATTAGCCTGTAGAAACCTAGTGAGTGGATAAGGTTTCCAGAAGAGTGAAACAAGCAAGCACATGTACCCAACCATGAAGGAGGCAGCCAACCCCCTAATTTGAACAGATGCTTGACCTCCGCCCCAAATGTGTGTGTGTGTGTGTGTGTGTGTGTGTGTGTTCTACAAATGTTATTATGGTGTGGCAGGTAGGATTTTAGGGTTTGAGTTTATTATTTATTTTTGTGTTTCATGGTAGTTCAGTTATTTTTTTTTTTAATTAAAATTTTCCACAGGATGGTTGTAATTTTACAAGATTAAGGTGACAATCTGGGAGCGTTTTTTTTGTTTTGTTTTGTTTTGGTTTTGCTTTATTGTTCTCAAAGACCCAATCGGAACTAAAATGATGCACCTATATGTTAATGAAAGAAAGAATCTCAGGTCTCCTTTTTTGGTTTGTTTAAAAACCAATATATAGCAGTTTTCTTCACAAAGGCAAAAACCTGCCTTACGACTATGTCTTAAGAAGTTTGATACTTCACTTGAATATCGGAACGGTAGAGTGCATTAATAAAAACAAAAGCGTATATGACACCTTAAGCCTTCTTTGCCTGGCTTTCTCGTAGAATCATCTTTTCACGGTTCATCCCAGCTGTAGCATAAATCCTTAGGGGCATCCAGACAATATTCCATGACGTGTTCATACCCCACTAGGTGTGTCCATCAGCTGGTGCCCAGGGGTGGTGTGGTTACCTTTCTGGTCGTTGCGACGCTCTGCTGTGAGTGTGTGTGTTGGTGACCACCTTCATTTCTCCTGTGCGTGCCCCTGGCGGGGAGGGGAACTGTGGGCGGTGAGGACACGCCATGTTCAATGTGCTGGGGGACCCATCAGCCTTTTCCGGAGCAGCCGCGCCCTCAGTGAGGATCCGCGGAAATGCCCTTGCAGCTTCTCACTTTGAGAGGGAAGAGGAGACAGGTCTCTCCCTTACAGATGTGTCGATGGGGTGTGAATTCAGGCCTCGGGCAACGGGAGCGTCCGGTGCCTTGGGCCCACGTTGAGGGAGGTCTCCTGTGTGTAGAGCACTGGGGTCTTGCTTTACGGTTTGGTTAGAGCCTTGGGTAGGTCACCGTGCAGTTCATCCGTGAGAACGGTCCTTTGGGTCACGCTGGGGAAGGGCACCCCGAGGCTTTGTGGGCCAGCCCGTCTCGGCCGATACAACTTCATTCACACACCCTGGAACTGGACGGCCGCGTCATGGGTCTCGAACTACAAGTGTTTTGGTTTTCTTCCCAACCATTTAAAACGGTCAGTGCCCCTTGCAGCTCACGGGCCTACACAAGGAAGCCGCAGGTGGGAGCCGGTCTGCGCACCCCGATGTAGAGGAGCACCCCCCGTTTTATTATTTCTCTCTCCTCTGTGACCACAGCCTTGGGAGTTGGGCCCCAGAGGCTGAGACGAGGCCTGTGTGCAGTGCAGTCGGGGTTCAAGGGGTGGTTCCCAGTGAAAGCAGACCAGGTGTCAGGGTGCCAAGACTCAGGAGCAGGGCGGGTGGGGGGCCTTCCGGCTGTGCACCCACGTAACTGCCAGAGGCCATGTCTCCCGCCCATGGCTGCGTTTGCTGGCAGGAGCATGAGGTCCTTGCATTCCCCATCGGACGCAGGCTCACAGTGGTTTCCATCGTTGTTGTCTTTTAAACTGTGTTGTTGTGCTTTTTAGTTGAAGATCAAGAACTGTTGTAACAGCCTTGGCCAGCGTGGCTCTGTGGGCTGGGCGTCATCCCAGAAAGCGAAAGGTCGCCGGTTCGATTCCCAGTCACGGCACACGCCTGGGTTGCAGGCCAGGTGCCCAACTGGGGCGTCCATGAGAGGCAACGAACCGATCGTTACATCCATGTTACTCTCCCTGCCTTCCCGTCTATTTAGCACCAAGATTTTTGAGATGCGGGCCCGGGTGGTGGGGGGAGGCATCTCCTGCCTTTCTTTCTGCAGAGGAAGCTACAGGGTTCATTTCCAGAAGGCCACAGGCCGCGTGACATGAGAGGGTGGCTTTGCCTATGACGGCACCTGGTGAAGAGAAAGCTGCAGGCCAGACTAAATCCCGCAGGGGTGGACGGCAGCCGCAGCGTCTCTGAGGTTCCGTGACCACCCCGTGTCTGTGTGTGTGCCTTCCTGAAATTCGTGGGGGGGGCCTGGTTGCCCAGGGTGGGGCATCTCCCCGCCAGCCTCTCAGTGGCAAAGATAAATAAACCCTGCGGACGCCTTTACAGGTTCATCAGAAGCATCCGCTCAAGGAGCAAGTCAGCGGAGAAACAGCGCAGGCTGGCTGTGCGTGGACGCAGCAGGCCCCTCGGGAGTCTGCTCTCCGGTTCGCGTGCCTGCTTCTCCGTGCAGGGAGGAGGGCGAGGGTAGAAAAGGAGAATCGTCAGGTTCGGCCTGGGCACGTCGCCCGGCTTGTGTGACGACGCGGTCATTCCGAGCCCTGGTTCGCCGTTCCTGGGTGGAGCGTGCTGATTTAGGAAGGCTTCCTTGCAGGGGCTGCCGGGAGGTTTTGGATGGGACTTCAGGAAGGGACCTCTTTGGGTGGGACTTTAGAGAGGGTCAGCATGCTTCATCGACACGTACACGCATTTCGGAAGAAGGCCCCTGCCGGCCCCGAGTGAACTCAGGAGGGCAGCCAGGCGCACCAGGGACCCTCTCTGAATGCCTCACCCTGGGGATTCTTTTCTTCCTTCAACACAGGCATTATTTTCCTAACCCGAGACCCCTCTTGTCTGCTCCCCCAAGCCCCGTGGCCTCATTGCCTACTCGCAAGTGCCGAATCGCTCTCATACTGATTCTGTCTGAAGACGGTGCCAGGATTTAATTACATCCTAATGAGTGGGAAAACGGTTCAAGGTCACAGGAGAGAATGTGCAAAATATGGGAAAGGGCACCCACACATGGATGTAAGCCCACCGCAGAGGCAGAGTATCGTGTGTGTGTGTGTGTGTGTGTGTGTGTGTGTGTGTACAAAACGAAGAAGTAGCAGCACCTCTGTTCCATCTGAAAACAAACGTTTTCTACAAAGCAGTGTATCTTGGACATTTTTTCTGGTCACGAAATATTCCTTTACAGATGTCCTCTGGTTCTAAGTGATTTATCCTTGGCTTTATTTATTTTTTAAGAGGGGAAGAGAGGGAGAAAGAGAGGGAGACAAACATCAATGTGTGGTTGCCTCTCGGGCGCCCCCCACTGGGGACCTGGACCACAACCCCAGCCTGTGCCGTGACTGGGAATTGAACCGGCGACCCTTTGGTTCTCAGGCAAGTGGTCAGCCACTGAGCCACACCAGCCAGGGCTCTTCTTGTCTTTTATTGATGCTGCTGCTAGGACATAGTCATAACATAACAGTTCTTTGATTATAGTAATAACTTTGGAGCATTTGCCTCTGGGTAAATAAATAAAAGTGTAGGGTTAGTGGAAAATCTCATCTCTGGGGGACATTTTTTTTTGTGACTGTCAAACAGTGTACACATGTCCTCATTGAGAAATGACGATAGGTAGGAAAGAAAACAACCGGGCTGGAACCACTGCTCATATTTTTCTGTAACTGGGGCCAGACTGTAAATGCCTCAGTTGATTCCGTCACACTGTCACTGGCCAAGAGAGTCCCCAGCAGCCCTGTCTGTATTGGCTAACCCCAGATTGCCGCATCCAGGGCAATCTGGCCTCTGAGCCGGTTTTCCAAAGGGCTCGACGCAGATAGAAATGTGTGCATTACAACTCCCATCTTCATCTGACCGGCGATTTGGAACTAGAAACAAACTCTGTTCACACGTGAGGAGAGGAGCTGTCCTGGAGAAAGACGGGGCTGGGGCCTAGATGTCAGGGTTGAGGGCCTGTTCAGAGGGGGCCGTTTGGAGCAGATGTGGTCGCTCCTGCTGTGCCCTGGTGCCCAGTCTGCCTGGCAACGGGGTCCCGGGGACCTGTGCCCGCAGCAGAGCGTGGCTGGAGGCAGCCTCAGTGTAGACAGACACCAGGCGTGAGGCATGCGTTCTTGCGTCCCTGCAGAAGGAGGGCTGCTTTCAGGGAGTGTGAGAGCACATTTCACCGCGGGGTACGTTGTTCAGAGACAAGCCCCATCGCACTGGCACCAGCACCCCCGTGCCAGGGCCTCTTCCATCAGCGCGCACCGAGCTCGGCCTCCCCCTGCAAGGCGCGGCCTCCCTGCTGGCACGCACCTGCCGCCCGCCTCTGCCTGCAGTACCGCCACCCGCCAGCTCGCCGGTCCGCTCCGCAGTTCCGCTGTGAAAGGTCATTCAAGGGCAAGCCGGATCTTGTTATTTGGCGGCAGTCTCCCCTCTTCCCAGACAGCGAGCACGGGTTAGACAGTCCAAGCGTAAGGCGGGCCCCCGACAGAGCACTGCCGCTTAGAGCTACGTTTTTAACTCTTTTGGGGAGAGAACCGGGGTTCATAGAACGCGCGCGGCCATGTCGAAGTTAAATCACGAAAGGCAACGGTACCGATCATTTTCTCTTCAGTTTCCTGACGGGCTTTGACCCCCAGATGATGACTTGCCCTGGCAGACTTGTTTTTAGAGGGGCGCCTCCAGGGATGCTATCGGCCCGCAATAATTTTTAAATTTCTGTTTGAGGCCACACGATGGGGACATGGGGACATGGTGGCTTTAAGTCACGGTGGAAGGATTCTTTTTTTTTTTCTTCTTCTTTCTCTAGTGTTTTTCGTCCATCACAGCCCCAGTCTCCTCACATCAGCCTCATGAAGGTGCCTGGAATCAAAACTGGGTCAGGCAAGAAAATAGATACCACTCACCCATGAAGCCCTGTCCCAGAGGCGGGACAGCGTCCCCTGGACCTGGAAAGGCATGGTGCCCCGGAACCCAGCAAGGCGCTGGGCCGACCATGGTGTCCCCAGGTGTCCCAAGGAGGACACGTGCGCCCTCCGGGGATGGTGCTGTTCTTCACGGGCTCTGTGCGTGCCGCCTGCACGGTCAGCTGTCCAAGGGCACCCACTGTGGTGCCTTTGGGCAAGGTCACTGCCTCCGCCCACCCTTGAGGAGGCCGTGTGTGGTCGCTCTTTGGGGAAATGCACAGGCGTGGAATGACCCAATAACCAGGTTAGCCCACACGGCTGCCCCCACGTCCGGCGGCCGTTACTGTCCTTCATGTGGAAATGACAGAGCCAAGTCACGTAGCAAGCCCTGCCATCTCGGCTAGGCAGGGTGGCGCGCACTGGTGGAGAGCGGGCTGCCTGGCTTGGAGCACGCAGCCCCCCGAGAGCCCCCCCAACCCCCTTCTACCCCAGCTCTGCGGCCAGCACAGGTGTCCCGAGCTCCCCGTCATCCATCCAGGAAAACCGCTCTTTGCAGAGAGGTGCAGGCCAGGCCAGCTTCTTCTCCCTGATGTAGGAGGCGGTAACAATGTTCTGCTGGGAGACTGAGCACAGAGGGCAGGCCCCTGCCCTGGGCCCAGGGTGCGTTATTAGAGGTCAGGGTCGCTCTTGCCGTGCGTGCGTGCGTGTGTGTGTGTGTGCGTGTGTGTGTGTGATTCCCAGTATCGCCAAACACCATGCTCTGGACATGGCAGGTACTCTGCCATCTGTTGTCTGTTTGCACTTCATTTTCCTGGAGCACAGAGAGACTAGGACGGCCCTGGCCTGTGCGGCTCGGGGGGGGGGGGGGGGCGGCAGCTGGAGCAGGGTCCTGCTTGGAGTCAGTGGTTCTGGGTTTCATCCCTGGTCTGGGCGTGTACGGAAGGCAGCCCATCAATGTCTCCCTCTGCCCCCTGCCTCTGTCTGTAACGCCAGTAAACATGTTCTTGGGTGAAGATTAAAAATAAAGCAGAGTTACGGGAGGAGTCCAATCTGCGGGCACAGGAAATAGATAGTAGCGTGGGAGCCTGGGGTTGGGGGAGGGGTGAGAAGTGAGGGTTGAGTGGGGACAGAGTTTCTGTTTGAGAAGGTTCTGCAGGCGATGACGGTGGCAGCTGTACAAGACTGGGAATGTACGGCTAAGATTAATACCCCTAATACCCGAGATGCTCACTTAAACATGCTTACGATAGTCGATGTTACAAGTATATACAGTATCATTATGGCACCAATTAATTCTTTGGCGGTAAGTTCCGCCACGGGTACAAATGCCCGGAATCCTAAGACAGGGTCCGTGAACAGAGGTCCCTGACGGCCTGCAGGGTTTTCAGTGGGAGCCGTGACCGGAAGGGGGCCTGGCTCTTCTCGGCTGTGGCTGCCGGGCGGGCGAGTACTGGAGTTTCGGAGCGCAGGGCCGTACCTGGGCATCAGCTGGCTGCTCTGTGGGTCAGCCTGTTCCCATGCTCGCCAGGGTCACTGGGAAGAAAGCCAGCATCTTCCTGGCTGCCTCAGCCCCAGATGATCTTGCAGTCCCCACCGTCCCTTCAGCCCCAAGTCCCCCTCCCGTCCAGGCCCTGGAAGCCTCAGGCAGACCGGTGCAGTGAGTTTCTCTCGGGGAGGGGGAATGGGGGTGTGGATTCTCTCCACATCCTTGCTTCAGCTTCTGAGACCTGGCCTCTTCCTAGAAGGAGGTCAAGTTTATCTTGGGTTGGCCAAAGAGTCCATGCGGTTCTTCCTGTAAAATAAAAGGCACACTTTTCATTCCCACCAATAACGTTATTGATTGGGATATTTTGAGTAGGTTGCCTGTCTCCCATGAGGTGGAACGTTGATTGTTCTCAGTGAACGTCTCGATTGGATCGCTCTCCGCTTCAGCTGGGCAACCTGACCGTGGAGCACCATCCAGCGAGAAATGCAGCACGAAACCTCGCAAACCACTCCTGACACGTTCCATCAGTCACAGCACCTTCTTCCTGTACCGCACAAATCTTTTTTCTTGGCATTTCAGTTGCGTTTTTAACTTTCTTGAAATTATAAAACAACAAACAGATGCTGAAAACACTGCATATTTTCTTCTATCTTCAATATTAAAATGGCTACACAAAAACTCACTGATCTTGATAAGTTGTTTTTTTTTTAATTCACGCTGATGTAACAGTTGTGACAATGCAATCGAACAAAGTTGTTTTGAAGGAAGTGAAAGATACACTAAGCGCTACTAGTCCCATCATACGGGAACACAAAGGAACTTTTGGCCAACCCGATACATAGTTGCCTAGCCGCTCACGATTTTGTTTCTCCTCGGTGCTGTGTACACACGACTGTGAGCTTGTCAGTTAAACTCTTGGGAGTGAAGGGTGTCAAGTTCACATGCCTGCTGGTCTACTCAGGAACCCCCTTCTGTTTAGAGCACTGAGAGTCGAAGCCAAGTGCGTCTGTCTCAGGCAGCACGATTCTACTCGTGGTTGTTATCAAGTACACGGCCGTCATAACACACATGCAATTTTTACCGAACAAAAAGTTGGCTTGATTTCATTTTCTCTCGCCCCTGAGTGTATCTGCGCCAGCCTGGTGTGGAACCTGACCCCACGCCAGGCTTATAAAACACACCAGCATTTCTTATTTTTGGCATCGTTTCCCTGGGGTATTGGAGTTTTAGGTAAATAATTATGAGAGTTTCGTGTAACACGCGGTCACACAGCATAACCTGAATCAGACGTGTGTTTGCTTCGTGGGAATAACATCCTGGGTGGGTTTTTTGTGTGTGTGATTGTTTCTGATCTTCTCAAAGAGAATGCAGAAGAACATACGTGTTGAGCCGTGTTTGAAGAGTGTCTCCGTTTTTTCCCCCCGCCCTTCCCACAGAGGGTGCCTCCTGCTTCGTGAAGACCTCGTCGCCGCCGCGAGGTGAGGCTAAGATGAGCATAACGAGTGACGAGGTGAACTTTCTGGTGTATCGGTACCTCCAGGAGTCAGGTAAGAGGGACGTGTATCTGTCCGCGGCAGAGTCGCCGGGTCGCACGTGGGGCGTGGCGACCGAGCGTGGGCGGACAAGCCAGGCTGGAGGCCAAAGCCTGGAGCGTAGAAGGGGGCAGCCGCAGGTTCGGGGACCGTCCCGTTCCTGGGGCAGCGTGAAGGGATGTATGGTCGGATCTGAGGGGTCTCCTTGGAAAGGAGGCGGGAGCGGTTGTGCCGGAGGTGGACTTGGCTGCAGTGAGGTGGTGCTTTTGGGCATCTCGCGAGTGTTGATGGGCTGGTGTGTCGATATGAACCCCTTAGACGGGGGACGTCTGATGCCCTCAACTTCCGTACGCCCCCTAAACGGAGGGCCCACGCATTTCTTTGAGCATGCGACTAGGACGAAGAGTTTCCTCCCTGGTGAGGAACATACAGGCCGGCCAAGGGCACCTTCCCTGTACTCAGACTGCACCTGGTGTTTAGCAGGTGCTGACCTCAGGGGCAGCGAAGGGGGCTGAGGGGTTCACCGGGCTGCAGCCCGGCTTCGTCACAGATGAACAGGATTCCTCACGGGAGTCCCCCCAGACATCGCCGAGCCTTGGTTTCCCCTTTATACAACATGGGGGGGGGGCTGCTTCCAGCAGCCTCACGCCACTTTACAGAACTGCTTGTGGGTGCTTGTTTATTAACCTTTTGATTAACTTCTAAAGGGGATGCTCCTTTTTCACTGGTAAATCTTTTACAAGATGTCACTGGAGATGTGCAAAATGGCATCACCTGACTTAAAGTCATCTGTTCCCAGTGCCATGGGGTCCCTGTGTCCAGCTGCCCCTTCTGCCTGCCCGCAGGGGGGCCCAAATCCTGGGCTTGGTGGGGCTCATCGGCGTGGACGTACCCCACAAGGGCGGTTCCCGGAGCAACCCTGAGTCCTGGCGCATGGTCCCCGGGCTGCTGCCATGAAGAAAGAAGCCCGGGCTGGGCTGGTTACCGGCCTTCCTTGTCTCCTAGTTCTTGAGGACAAAAGTCTGACATCGAGGTGGGGCAGGCTTGGTTTTTCCTGGGGAGGGGTCTGTTCCAGGCCCCGCCCCCCAGCTCCACTGGAGTCTGTTCCAGGCCCCGCCCCCAGCTTCACTGGAGTCTGTTCCAGGCCCCGCCCCCGCCCCCCAGCTTCGCTGGAGTCTGTTCCAGGCTCCGCCCCCCAGCTTCGTTGGTTTCCTTGGCGTGTAGAGGCGTCCCCCCCCCCCAACCTGCGCCTTTGTCTTCCCGTGGCTGTGCGGATGCCTGCCCGCGTGTATCAGATTTCACCCTCGTGAGGGAAGGCAGTCTTGGTGGAGTCTCCTCGGACTCCAGTGCGACCGTGGTAACTAATCACACCCGCAGTGACGCTTTTTAAATAAAGTCGCATTCCGAGGGGGCCCGGGAGAGGACTTCACCCACAGGCATTTGAGGGTGGAGGACACAGTCCAGCCCAGAGCAGTGACTTCCCTGCCAGTTTACGCCTTGGACACTCGGTGTCATAGTGTGTGCGTTCTACAACTTGTGTTTGCAACAAGAGACCTGTTTTCAGGTCCTGCTTCCCAAAGGCACAGATGCTGGGACTTCGGGGGAAGCAGCGTTAGCCCTGAGCACCGCCCCTCTCCGGCGGGGGTGGTGGGGGGCAGCATGGTAGCCAGACCAACAGTCCCAGCTCTGAGCTTTGGACAAGTCCTTTTCTCCGACGCAGCCTCGCCTTGTGGGCCGAAAGCAGTTTTCCTGGGCCAAGGGGTGAGATCGTTCGGGCACGTGGCGTGTTGTGAATGAACAAACCCCCATGCCTGCCCCAGCCCGGGTCTCGGTCACCCCGGCCCCCGGTGGGCGTCATCCCGGAGAGCGCTTGTCCTTCCTGCAGAGAGATTAGGTCGTTCCGGTGAGCTGTGGCCGGAACGTAGTAGGAGACACGGATACACAAACCAAATGGTAAACCTGGGAAACGACTCCTGCCGCTCGCAGCCCGTAACCTGGAAGCTGGCAGCAGTGGCTCAGCTGGACCACAGGGGTGCACCTCCCTGTCCCGGAGCCCGTCCCTGGCCCCGGTGTCTGCACATGACGACCCCACGCACCACACCTTTTCCCCTGTGCGAGCAGATTGCTAGGGAGACTGTCGTTCCCGAGTTTGTGGACATCAGGACACATGAAGGGTGAGGTCGAACATCTCTGTGGGGCGTGGTGGCCACAGGTGCTGGGTCCCACGGGCCCAGGACGGCAGGGATGCTGGCAGCCTCTTCGCATTGTCAGGGGAACCTCCCCCCTCCCCCAGAAAGCCCAGCCGTCTGCACTTGGCGCCTTTCTGTCTCCTTTTGTGGACAGTCTGTGTAACCTGGCAACTGGCGGAGAGGCGGCAATGCACAGAATCTCCCCCGGGCTGGTTTCTATAGCAGGTCTTCCTTCCCAGGCCAGCTGTAGGTGGCTCAGAGTGCTGGGGAGGTAAACTCCCACGAGGGGGGGGTATGAAGAGATCAGAGCACCCGCGGCACCTTCTTCTTAGTCTGCCACGGTGACTCTCTTTGCCAGCTTAGAAAAAGCCAGCTCATCTCTCTTGGTCATGGTTCCCCGCGGAGCCCTGTGTTGCCTCCTGTTCACCCATGTCTCACGCAAAATCAGTCCCACGCAGCAGCAGGTGACGCGTTCCTCACTGCTGCCAGGCAGGTGCTGTTCCCTGGAGGGGCTGGCAGGTTCTGGGTGGCTGAGTCTCAGCTCGATCCTTGCATTCTGTGTAGAAGATGAGGGGAGGGGTCTGGGGAGGGAGGGAGAAGGAGGGAAGGCTGTAGTTCGTTTCTTTTTCTTTAAGACTTTACTTATTTAGTTTTACGGGGGGGGGGGGACCAGTGTGTGGTTGCCTCTTGCACACCCCCAGCTAGGGACTTGGCCCACAACCCAGGTATGTGTCCTGACTGGGAATTGAACCAATGACCCTTTGCTTCACAGGTTGGCACTCAATCCACTGAGCCATGCCAGCTGAGGCCGTAGTTCATTCTTTATTGCTCAGTTGTGCTTCAGTTTAAGGATGCATTGGGGGCGGGGGGGGGGGAATACAGAGCAGTTGGCTGTTTTCCTGTCGAAGAACATCAGAGTGACTTCCAGATTTTGATGACTTCAGCTAAAGGTGTCAGGAGCATTTGTGTACATGGGTTTTGGGTCACCCTCCAGGAGCAGGGTTACTGGGACGGGTGTCGGTGGGCTGTCCCTTTATCAGAGGCCTCCACGGCCTTTCCCTTGTCACTGGACCACATGGCCCCTCATTTCTCTAGGGTTTCTTAAACTGAATGTATTGGGTTACGCTGGTTAGTAAAATTAGAGAGGTTTCAGGGGCGCGACATTTCAGCCTGTCCTCTGTATATCATATCGTGTATTCACGGGCCCAACTCGAGTCTTTTATCGCCGCTTACCCCCCCACTCTCCACTCTGCCACCTCCCCCCAGTTCCTTAGTGCTCTTCTGGGTTTGGCTCGAGAGGCTGAGCTGGTTTCTGCTCGTGGCAGAGGACACGAAGGAAGGAGTTGAAAAGACACGGCCCCCGCAGACAGGCGAAGGCTTCCACCTCTGCGTGGGCTTTCCTGGGACCCTCACTGGACCCGCCCGGTCACAGTGCCCTGGTCTGTAGGGCGGGCGCCAAGTCTCGGAGCATCGGCCCAGACACCCAGGCACTGAAGTCCACACGAGCCCGGGGAAGAGGCCGGCCCCGCGCCGGGTTCTGTGGCTGCCTTCAGCAACCGGCAGGCGCCGAACCAATCCCGCGTGACGGCCGTGACGCTGGCTTCACGGCGAAAGAGAAACTCGGGGCAGAAAGGGACTTTCACTGATGTTTTCTCGGGGTTGAGTGTCCTATCAGGCTGCACGTGTGTCCGAGAAGCCTGCCGTTCGAAACGTGGCTGGTAGCAGGAGGGGCTCACCCTAACCGTGGGCGGTGAAAACGCATTCGCCACGGATCACTGGTGGTCAGGGCGCTGAGCGCCTTCCTTCCTCATGAGGATCGAAAGACCTTGGAGCGTGACTGAAGACTCCTCCTAGCTGCGATTTATTTCCTGGCGTGTCAGATGCGTGGTCAAGGGGCCAGTGTATTGCACGTGAACATCCCCATATGTGCATCGTGAACACAGGAGCGGCGGCGGGTTTCAGAACTGACCGTCCTCCTGCCTCCCATGGGAGCTGTTTTTCTCAACACGCGTAGCTCCGTGGTATTTGGCGAGTTTCCTTGGATTGACAGCATGTGGACGTAGTTACAGCTCTGTGCTGTATATCATCCTTCCAACAAGGAGGAGGAGGAAATCTCACGTACCCAGCCCTTCGAGATCTAAAGTGCAGCTTAGCAGACGTTTCTCATTCATTGCAAGGGGCCTCGGTGACCCCCAGAAAAAAAAACCCAAACCAGCCACGGAGACTTGCTCACCATTTGGCACAACCTGTGCCCTGTGCCACACCTCTGAGTTTCCAGCGTGGCCGGAGGGAGACTTTGGAGGCATTTTGTGCCCACGGCCAAGCCCAGGCACAGAGCTGTGGGGCTGTTCTGTACTTTCAACGCACCGAGCTTTGACTTTCCGGAAAGATGGCCCGGCAGTGTCCAAGCCCTCATGTCAGCTCGGCCGCTGCTGCGCCAGGCGGGAAGGAGGCCTGTTTGGATTGAAAACAGCCAGGCTGCAGTGGGTGAGGTACTGACGTCCCGTGAGACTGGGGAGAGAGGGTCATGGGGGTGGTCCGTGTTTTCCAAAAGCCACGGCTACTGCCAAGCTGTTTTGTTTTGGGGTTCCCCCCCCCACTTCCTCAAATCAGCCAAAAAGAGTTCCTGGCCATTTCTTCATTTTTGTTTTAGACTCTCATGTAATTTTAATTCTCCTAAAAATAGCAGCACAGCCATGGACATTTCTGTTGGTTCCCGACAGCATGAAGGTCAGCCAGCAGAAAGCCAACTCCCGTACTTTTTTCTGCTAAGTGACGTCTGAACGGCCTTATTTCTTCACCCTTTGTCTTCTGATTCCTGCCGCT